ATGGCGAAGGCGAAGGACTTGCGACCGGTGCGGGGTACGACGTCGAACTCGAGCTCGACGCCGACGGTGAAGACGAAGAAGATGAGGCCCAGGGTGGCGAGGGCCTCTAGTATAAGGACGCTGCGGAGGGGGAAGACCACGATGGAGAACATTGGGATTCGTCCTAAGATTGATGGGCCTAGAACAATGCCACTCTGTACAAATTGCATAAACAAAAACATCTTATTGTTAAAAAGAATCAAAAACTTAACAAAAATATTTATTTTTTTTATATCCTAAAATTCTATTTCGACAATTTGACACCCAGCGCAAAAAAAAAAAAAAATTGATGTTACCATGACGTCAGAAATGAATCGAGGCTGATTGAAAGGTTTAAGGAGAATGGTAGTGACTCGAGTTGCTACAATGATGACCATGAGCTGGAGCATGAACATGGGAAGGGAATAGTTGAACGGACGTTCGCCGTGCCAAATGCCGTTCATCGTCGTCATCGTTGGGGCGTAGCACACCAGAGGATAGGTGGAAACATTTCCTCTGCTGTCATCCAAGAACTGAATTGGGGATGAATATTCCATGGCCATATGAATGTTGCCAGATTTGATGGAGAAAGACGATGGAGGGGTTAGAGAGAGATGAAAAAGGGTCGGAATGAGGGAGATGGGCAAAATTGTAAAAGTGAAAACGGTTACAGGGGGAGAGCCTATTCCTTTGCCTGAGCGAGCGTGCAAAGGGTAGGTAATCTGTGGATACAGAGAAGTGGGGTCAACTATCTTAATTTTTTGGTCAAACAAGAAAAAAAAAACTACTAATTGAGGTCTTGAAAATCCGGCCCTCAAAATAAGTGTCCAAATGGATCCAATTCCGGACGCAACATTATATACATCAGGAAATAACATAAAGTATTATTGATTCTACAAACAACTATTTTAATAATAAATGAATCTAACCTGTGTTCAAGATATTTGACAGCTAAATGTCAGTGCTTATGACAGAAACAAACTTAACTATGTGGGTCAGTGTGAATTTGGGAGCGCTTACAGTCCCTTCATCTTTTTGATTGCTGATCATATTTCAGACCAACAACGCGATGCATGATGGAGAAAATGAGATATGACTTTTCCCATGCAGGAGGTCTAAATTTGGAAAAAGGTCGGCGCTTCGCTTACCCCCTTTGCACCAAAAGGGAAATCTGATAATTATTACGACAGGACTCGCAGGGGATTGTGATATGTATCTCTGTTGTCAACGTAGTGTTTCGAAGCTAGCGAAGAGTCAGACAACTATTCCATTAGCTCTTCTTTCGAATCGACCTGCTGGGATTCGGACACCAGTACATGGGTCATGTTCAAGAGACTTATGTCTAACATGACCTCAGCTTAGCCAAGTAAAACTCGAGAGGATGATCAATTACCCCAATTCGAGGATCCCCTGTGTCGGCAACTCGGCATGAGTGGGAAACCCGCTTTGAACAACGTGAACCTCCTACGGACGACAAGGTAATTTAAGTGAACATTGAAGATGAATCTAATCCGAAGCTCATATTCATAAGTGATAGTCTGTCGCCTGAAGAAAAGGAAGATCTCATTGCTCTTGTACGTGAGTATATTGACGTATTCGTCTGGAACTATGAGGACATGCCCTGCCTTGATCCTCTGGTGGTCATACACAGCCTTAACATTAAACCAGATGTCAAGCCTGTCAAGCAACCGCAACGGTGATTCCGTCTACAGATAATGGAAGCAATCGAAGCCAAAGTCAAGAAGCTCATTGGTTTGGGGTTTATTCGAGAAGAACAGCACCCGGATTGGGTGGCCAATATCGTTCCAGCTCTGAAAAAGAACAGGAAAATTTGAGTCTTCATCGACTTCCGCGACTTGAACTTGGCATGTCCGAAAGACGACTTGCCCTTACCCATTACAGACATCATCATTGACAACACGTGCGGGTTTGAAAGGATGTCATTCATGGACGGATTCTCAGGGTACAACCAATTCAAGATGTATCCAAGGGTTAAGAAACATACTTCCTTCCGAACACCTTCAGGGATATACTATTATACGGTAATGCCCTTCGGATTGAAGAACGCCGACGCCACGTATCAGCGCACTATGACCACTATTTTTTGGGAACACTTGCGGAGGACAATAAAGTGCTACATCGATGAGTTGGTTGTTAAAAGCCGTAACAAAGGTGATCATCTTCATGACTTGAAGACAATGTTCAACCTAAAGTGATCACATCAGTTAAGGATGAATCCAACCAAATCCTTCATGGGAATGGCTAGCGGAAAATTTCTTGGATTCGTGGTCACAGCTAACGGAATTCACCTTGACCCAAACAAAGTCAAAGCCATTCAAGAGCTTCCGCCTCCCCGAAATATTAAAGAGCTACGCGGTCTACAGGGGCTTCTGGCTTACATTCATAGGTTTATTTCTAACCTACCAGGCAGATGTCACTCATTCTCAAAACTCATGAAGAAAGACATATCATTCATTTGGGATGAGGCCTGCCAGAAAGCATTTGATGAGATCAAACTATATCTCTATAGTCCGCCCATATTAGTCAACCAAAATCAGGGAAGTCATTCCTGATGTATGTCCGAGCTACAGAGCATGCCCTGGGAGGACTTCTAGCGCAAGACGATGATAATGACCATGAACAAGCCATCTACTATCTTAGCAGGACTTTATCAGAAGCTGAACACTGCTATCCCTCAGTTAAGAAGGAATGTTTGGCCTTGGTCTTTGTAATCCAAAAGATGTGATATTATTTAGTCAGGCAGATCATATATGTCATCTCCAAAGTTAATTCGATACAGATATTCATGACGCAACCCGGGGCATTGAACTGATGACTCGCAAGATGGGCATTGCCGCTATCTCAATACGACATATATTTCTCGCCACAAAAGGCGGTGAAAGGTCAAGCTATCTGCGACCTCCTTGCCAACCACCCCTTGGAGTGAAGAGTGGATTTGTATCAAGATATGCCGAACGAGACCTGCAAAGCCAATGTGGTCTCAAAAGAACAGGTATGGTAACTATTTTTTAACGGCACATCAAGAACATGCCCTAAAGCTACAATTGTCGCCGGAGTGGGGCTGATCTTGGTTTCTCTGCAAAACCATGTACTATCTCAAGCCTTCTCTTTGACGAAGCCATATTCTAACAATGTAGCTGAATACAATGCTTTGCTAATTGGTCTCGACCTAGCCAAGAACCTGGGGGTAAAACACCTAGAAGCATATGGCGACTCGAAACTCGTCATCAACCAATTAAAAGGAGAGTTCGAAGTCAGACATGAGGATCTGGTCCCCTACCATAAGGCGGCCATCACATTGGCTAATTATTTTGAAGGCTTCTATATTGATCATGTGCCTCGTCTCAAAAATACATATACTGATGCTCTAGCATCACTCGCAGGTACACTAGCTCTGCCTAAAGGAACTACTTAGCGAGTCACTATAGCTAGTAGACAACTGTTCCGACTAAAATATGCATAATAAATCAACACGGTCAATGAAGATTGACAATTCCTGATCATCAACTATGTTTTATATGGCTTACAGCCTGAAGACATTAAAGAAAGAGAATCCGTCTGCAAACAAGCACCAAGATTCTCCTAAAATTCCATGTCGTAAACCTTGTACAGAAGGTCGTATGATGGATTGCTACTTCGCTGTTTATCAAGCAAAGAAGTAGAAGAAGCCCTTTAAAAAGACCATGATGGCATCTGTGGAGCTCACCAGTCAGGACCTAAACTGTGGGACCGACTAAGTAAACTTAGCCACTACTGGCCAAAGATGATAGTGACGCCATTGCCTATGACAAACGATGTCGTGCATGCCAAATACATGCTAATTACATGCATCAGCCGTAGGAGCATCTGCATCCTCCGGCCACTTCATGGCGATTCAATATGTGGGGCATGGACATCATCGGACCAATTTTCCCACTTGCGAAAGGACATCACTTCATCTTGGAAATAACAGACTATTTTTCTAAATGGGCCTAAGCAATTCCATTTAGAGAAGTCAAAACAAGTGATGTTGTCAAGTTCATCAAATATTACATCATCTATAGGTATGGTGTCCCAAGACGTATCATCCATGACAATGGACCCTAGTTTGTCAGCCAGACATTCACACGATTCTACGACAAATTCAGAATCAGAAACTTAGCATCAATAGCCTATAACCCTTCTGCGAATGGACAAACATAAGCTTTCAATAAGACCATCATCAAAATTCTCACCAAGTTAGTCTCCACAAACAAGTAGGATTAGGATGAGAAATTGGGTTAAAGCTTATGGGCATATCACACGATGGTTCGTACACCAACGAGTTCTATGACATACTCCTTGGTATATGGATGTGAAGCCATCTTTCTGTTAGAAATTCAGATTCCATCCCTTCGGATAGCACTTATGACCGATATGACAATTGAAGAAAGTCATCACCGACGTCTTGAAGAACTTGAAGCATTAGACGAGAAACAACTACAATCTCAGCAGCATATTAAGTTTTTACCAAGCTCGAATCTCCAAAGCATTTGATAAGAAAGTCAAACACTGCATTTTCAATGAGGGTGACCTGGTTCTTGTCGTCCGACGTCCGATGATTATGAATTCCAAAAAAAGGCAAGTTTAAGTCGAAATGGGAAGGACCATTTGTAGTAGAAACGGTCTACTCAAATAGAGCATATCTCCTAATCAATCAAGATGGCGACAAGATCATGATGCCTATCTACGATAAATTTCTAAAAAGGTATTGCATGCTATCTAAAAATTGCTACAGATAGCCAATCCCCATCAAGCATTGATAATAGAGGTTACAATACGATAACTTTCAGAAGGTTACAAATTGAAGAACTTCATAACGATCAACAAAGGTTACAATTCAACAACATTCACAACAACCGATGAAAGTTCTAATTCAACAACCTTCACAATCATCAACAGGAGTTACAATTGATGACTCTCACATTTCAAGGAGCCGAGATGAAGATCACAATCTTTTCAACACTCTAAATAAAGAGACTACAAGTCAATAGTCTCTTCAACTCAAAACACAAAGCTCACGTCTGCGCTCCAAACTCAAAACGCAGGGCTCACTTCTGCGTTCCAAGCAACAAAACGCAGGGCTCACTACTGCATTTTTTAGCCTCAAATATAGAACCTAACTCTGTGTCCCAAGTCCAGGATGGAATTTTCGTGCCCAAAACACAAATTTTTTATTTGACTCGTTCCAACATGAGTTGAACGATTCTAAAAACCATTTTACACGATCTGAGGGGATCACAACCCCACTAAGGAGTGATTTTAGGGGTTAGTTACACCCTTAAAATCCTTATAAATAGCGATAAACTCAGCTGAGTTCGGGCTGGATATTTTAGATCTGGAATGAGGAGAAATCTTTTTGGCAGATCGGGATTTGTTAGATCTTCGGGGAGATCTTCAACGGTTCAAAACTTGAAAGGATATTGGCTTCAGATCTTAGAGAATTTGGAGCATCATTAGGACTTTTCCTTTGCTTGTGAACCGATTTCGGTTAGATCAAATCAACTCTTTTACAGAGTTCTAAACTCATTCTGAATTCTTTAACTCGTTTAGTGTTCCTAAACTCGTGAGAGTTTTAAAATTGCATTGCAAGTTCTTCCCATCAAGAGGAATCA